AGCCTCCCCGCACTGGGACTGCGCGCCGGCCTCCCTCCTCGCAGCCCGTTTTCCTCACACCGGCGCGGCTCAGGCTCCCCAGCAGCTCCCCCGGCTCACGCAGCTGCCGGGGCAGCTCACCAGGGCAGGGTCATTTTCCTACGCCGTGCAGGTCCCTTCCCCCACCCCCTATCATGTTGCTCCACACCACCCTCTATGCACGAACCACCTGGAGCTGTAGCTTGTCCGCTATGGCCTCCTCCCACTGCTCTATTTGCATGTTATTAATACCTTTATGCGAGCAGTGGTTCGTTATTTTCTGAACAAAAGACCCTACGTTACTCCTATGAAACGAAGCAGAAACCCTGCGCAGCCCAGGAGCTGCAGCAGGAGCCAGGCCCTCCCCGGGCAGCCCCACACGACCCTGTTTGCACCTGCACAAGGGCCTGCTTAGCCTCCCCCGGCCCCTGCTGTGCTTCGAAGCCCGGCCGCCCCTTCGTGCTGTGCCCAGCTGTGTCAACCACCCAGTTGCTTCCTTAGACAAGCATAGTATTAAAGCTCAGCTAATTGACATGTTTGTGTCTTAATTTTCCATCACCTTAAAATGAAGACTTATAATATGCTCTGGTATTATTTGCTGAGCAGGCCATGGGGGGGCCTGTGCCTTTGAGTTGCTTCTGGAAAGGAACTCCTTCACTGAACGGCTGAGAGAGGTGGGCTTGTTCAGCCTGGAGAAGAGGAGGCTCTGGGGAGACCTTATTGCAGCCTTCCAGTGCCTGGGGATGCTACAAGGAAGATGGGGGGCACTTTTCACAAGGGCCTGTAGTGTCACTAGGGTCACCCCAGGACAAGGGGTAATGGTTTTAAACTGAAATACAGTAGAGTTTGGGAAGAATTTCTTCCCAGAGAGGTTGGTGAGGCACTGGGACAGGTTGCCCAGAGAAGCTGTGGATGCCCCAGTCCTGGATGTCTTCAAGGCCAGGCTGGATGAGGCTTGGAGCAACCTGGTCTAGTGCAAGGTGTCCCTGCCCATGGCAGGCGGGGTGGAACTAGATGGTCTTTTAAGGTCCCTTCCAACCCAAACCAGTCTGTGAAACAGCACAAAGCTCCCTCCCACACACTTCCAAATGCAGGCAGTTACAGCACTGGTAAGGGAAGGAAAGCTGATCCAGAAGGAGCCTCAGAAAACATTTCTCTTGACCACACAATTTCCCCCTTTTCACCTGCTCTGCCAGTTTTTCTGCCTCTGCATCCAGAACTGGAATCTGCTTGTGTAAACTCTCAGGTAGCTGTTCTGGAGCCGTTCAAACCCCAGCACCAGTTAGTTCACCTGACAAGCAAAGCTCGTGCCTGCAGGGTACTGAGGCAAATATGATGTTGCTGGCACAAAACACAGCTGGAACAGACATGAGGCTCCAGCATCAGGGTGAGATCTTAGCCTTTACATAAGTGCTGTAATGCTAAACCAGCCAACCGAGGTCATTTTCTGGAGCAATTCAGGTATTTGTTTTCCCTCACTATGTCTTCCTAAGTGATCTAGACAAAACACAGCCTCCTCTACCATGTTGAGTGGTTTATTCAGATTCTAAATAAAAGGTTTTGGAAAACTGATCTTATGAAAAATATCACCTGAGAAAATCAAAATAAAATGGGCACACAGCAGCATCCACATCCCTAAGTTAATCTAAAAATCAATTGGGGCCCATTTTATTGTGCAATTTCCTCCTGTGAGGTGGGTTCTGCAGTCCAGGAGCTGGATTCTGATACCTACTTACATTCCTCATAACCCTCATTCCACACATCTGCCTCATTCTGGCAAGTCCATGGTCTCTCAAGGGCTTCTCAAACATGATCTCCTGCAAAGGTCACAACTGCTGCTGTTACATTATCAATAGCTTGTAGCATAAAACCAAAACTTAAAATAGTTGAGAGAGAAGAACTTTTGGCTAAAAGAAAAACGACTCATGGGGCGGTGAGACCCAGGAAGATGAACTGTTATGGGCAGATACTGTCACCATAAGGACTGGTGCTGCTAACAGCACACTTGGTACCTTCAGCCCATGCAGATCCACTGATGACCAAGCAAACCCAGATGCTGAGGCCAGCCCCTTTTTCCACGGCACCCATGGCACTGTGCGCTCCCAAGGCCTGCAGAGAGAAAGGCATCTCTTAATGAGCACAGCGTTCTCAACCTGGCTTCAGTTCACTGTTTTGAGCTTCTTGTTTGGTAGTTCCTGATGGTTCTTGGCTTGTTTCCGTTTCTGGCAAGGCGCTTCCTTGTTCTCCCCACCAGCCAGTTTGTCCAAGACTATAGCAGTCTCCTTCAGAAGCCGCATCTCCCGTTTTTCCTTCCGCTCCTCCATTTCTACTATGTCATCCGCAAACAAAGCCTTCAGAGGCGGGATCAGCTTTGGGATGGTCGGGAAGTCACCAAGACGTACCTGAAATTCATCAAGCACAGGAGCACCTGCATGAGAATTGGTTTTTGTTTTCCTTCCTCCCCCCACCTTTTGCCAGTTCAGATAGTAGGGCACTGCCTCCTCCCCTGCAGCACCCAGAACAGGAGCCCTAACCTGGCTGACGGTTTCATTGATACTAGCGGGCAGTCTTGACCCTGCAGCAGTCAGTCTGCAGATCCCATATGCCAAGTTATTTATATTTTCTTCATAAGAAATGATGTGGGCACTGTACAGGTTCTCACTGATTAGTGAGCCACTCTCACTGCTAGGGCTGTGTTCGGCTTTTGGCTCCTGGACATCTTTTGGAGAAAGACATTAAAGAAGCACACCAATTGAGAAGGGAGTAGGAATAGAAGCAAAATTAGGTTTTCAGCTGCAAGTAGTGTGCACAGAATAGAGATGACATAAGGCAAGTACCCAGGATATTAAGAGTGGACTTCTGTTTTCAAGAGCCATCAGCACCTCCCTCACTCTATGCCACATTGATGATATCTGCTGCAAGCAGTAAAACAAGCTCTTTCAGAGGAGACTACTCTTCAGAAGGAGGTAGTGTATGGATACATTACAAGTGGAGAATTTAATCTATGAGCAGCCATCCCAAAGTAACACTGAAACCTTTCCCACAGTGGCTCAAGCTTACCCTCATATGATCGAATGCAATTCCAACTTTCTCACTGAAGTCTTCACTGAAGAGCGGGATCTTAGCATATCTCTGACTGAAGTGATTCAGCATGATGAACTCTGCATTCATCTTCATCCCAGTCTGAATTGCCTGGGAGGTTGTGCTGCAAAAGGAACAAGAACTTAGTGCTGCACACCCTGGTCACACACAGGCTGGCTAGTACTGCTCCTCCAATGCAGCAGGGCAGGCTGCTTTGCGCTTCAGGTCACATCACACCAAAAGCCAACATTAGGTAGTATCTAACATCTGGTGAGCACAAGTTGTCTTTGCAAGGTGTCTTTCCTCTGGCAACCTGCACTGGTGGCAAGTCTCTGACTTCCAAATGACTCCAAAAGCATGAATGCAGCTCTAATTACTTAGAGCTCCACAAACTGGGGACAAGAGCTTTTTCAAATACTTGTCCCAGAGGTGCCAGCAAGTCCAGCCCTCTTTTACTGTAACTCACATGTGGTTCTGAGAAGCTGCTCGCAGGTCTTCCCACTTTTGCTGGAGTAGCACTCAGCAGCACTGGCTACAGCACTCTGTTTGGATTGCATGATTAGCTATGGTGGTAAGATGACCCTTCTACCTCCTCATCTTAGTCCTGAAATATGAAGCAGAGGACCCTTCCTTTGGGCTAGTCTATTTGTCTACCTAAAAGCTTTCCCCATTTTTCTGCAGGGATCTTCAGAGGAGCTGAGTGTCACAGAGCTGGTGCAATGAGCAACACACCATTTTTAGGGCTGCAGAGCTCTGCACACACCAGAACCATCTAAAGGACTTGGGTCCTACACCAGCAGCTCCAAGGGCAAATCCCAGCACGACATCTTTGCCTTCCCAATAGTGACAGACAGATACCCTACCTGTGTGTCTTCTCTATAGCCTCTTTTTCCATGCCGTCTTCCAACGTTGCTTCATGGATCAGCAGGGTAGCATCTTTACCTGTGTAAAGAATCATATATTCAACTTTCAGCCGAATACAGACTAGTTCAACTGCCTACATGAACTCTCATTTCCCCTCCTTAGCCCCTCGTTATGTTGCAGGCATAGTACCAAGGGTTTGGAGGTGCCCACTTCGGACACTAACACTAACAGAGACCTTCTGCAAGAGATTCTTCAAGCAGAGGAGTTTTGTCACCTACCCATTTGTACTAAGGCCGCGCAGGGCATTGTGTCACCAGAATAGACTACTTTCCAGCCAGATTTGTGGATCATTGAACATGCAAAAGCATTTTTACAGTGCTGGACTTCGCAAGTCTGAAACTGAACAAGGATACAAGTGTTAGACCTCAGGTACCCTCTTGCCCCTCACAGCAACTGAACCTGCCAGCTTGTGAGCTTACCTCAGCCAAGTCATAGTTCTCTAACAGAGAACTGACAAACCATTTGGCTTTAGGCTTGATGTTCTCACAGCCCTTCAGAAGAGACTGGGAAGTAATCATTCTGTGAGGGAGGAGAGAAGAGAGAACTAAGGACAGGTACAAAGGAAACCTGTAAAACCTGATCTTATCTTTAAGCAACCTATTTCTCCTTCTCACTTTAGCACCTTACAAACAAGATCTTTTTGTGCACCCATCTGTTTTTCTCCTTGCTCTCAGTATCTAGTGCCTGATAACTCATCCAAGGACTTCCCCGTTGTCAAATAACCTCTCATCCAGGAAATCTTTTTTCACTTGCCCAACTCCCCTTTCTGAAGGAAAAGGAAAGCTTGCATGTAAGCCTCTGCTAATTAGCACAACTAACAAACATTATCCTCCCCTTTGCAAAGGGCACATCCTAATTCTACTAGCAGTGGAAGAAGTCAATTGCCTTCAACAAAGGGGTGGGGGGAAATGGATGACAGTAGTATGCCTTGAATAAGGACCCAGCAAGAACATTTCTCCACATACCACACAGAACACTCACTTGATGTCTCCAAGAATCTCTTCACAGTGGTTGTGGTACTCATATAGCCAAGGCATTATCTGTTCAGGCGCTACCAGAAACACAGGGCTGAAAGCCTGACCAAGAGCTGTCTAGAAAAGCAGAGGCAGGAGGGGGGGGAAAAAAAAAACCAAACAAAAACAAAACTCAGTACTAGGTATACACCAAATCAGAGAGAAGAAACACCTAGGGAAACGGTGCTTTTCCACCACTCAGCAGTTCCCCTCCTCTCACTCCAAGGCAAGTTCAGGAGCAGTGAAACAACAGTACTACTTACAAAAGCTCTCCGTCTCTCCATCAGGATGTTCAACAACCCCTGCAAAGGGAATAAACAAGAGAGCAAGCTGTAGTCAGAAATATCTGGGATGTAAGTGGCAACAGTCCTACTGCAGCTCAGCAAGCTGCAGTCTTTGCAAAATCTAGTCAGAAATAGACAATTACTGCTTTCCCAATCACTGCAACCTGCTGAGCTGCTCTAACACTGTCACTACTTGTGTCCCCAGGCTGGTGGCCAGCAGCCCACAACACAAGCCCCTCAGCCCTTCCCAGTGCTTCTGTGTCTACTCCCAAGAGAAGGGTGGAGAAGATTAAGTCTCTACCCAACATCTCAGACCCAGTGTGGTTTCCAGACACAAGACAGCAGACCAGCAAACAGCCTGCTCTGAATCAGGTCCAATCTAGAATAGACCAACAGGTCCTCCTGTGATTATTTATTGCAAAGCACTGAAGGAAGCTGAACAGTGCTTTGCAATAAATAATCACAGTTGAACACTGCTAAAAATTCCAATTCTGGATGATACCAGCAAGTCTGCAGGGACTCGTCACAAGAAGGAAAAAGGAATTAGAACGACAAGACAGATTCAGTAGTGCCTGGGGAATGCACAGGGGAATTCACCACTAAGAGCAAGGCAGCCTACATTCATCAGCTGCAGCTACATCAGAATCCCAAACAGCAGAGCATGACTGCTCAGAACACCTTCTCCTTCCAACACACTCAACATACCGAATGATGATCAGTGTGCATGTGAGACACAAAAACAGCTACTATGTTACACAGCACTTGGTCAACTTGCTCTCCATAGTGGCGACACAGCTGTCCAAATGTTCCTTCTCCGCAGTCCAAGAGCAGGGATCTGGAGGGGCTGGCAAAACAAGCGACAAAGACATTCAGCAGCCACTGCTTGAGCTCTGAACAGGGCCCATTCACAGATTCACAGAGTGGTGGGGGTTGGAAGGGACCTCTAGAGATCATCTAGTCCAACCCCCCTGCCAGAGCAGGATCACCTAGAGTAGATCACACAGGGAAAGTCCAGGCAGTGTTTGAAAGTCTCCAGGGAAGGAGACTCCACCACCTCTCTGGGCAGTCTGTTCAGTGCTCTGTCACCCTCACAGTGAAGAAGGGTTTCCTCACGTTCAGGTTGAAAGAAGGAGATCTTTGGTGTTGAAAGACAGAGTTCTCCGTTCTCTACACCTCTAAACGCTACTCCAGTCCTACTAGCCAAGGCTTTAGGAAGACTGTTTTGTCTGCATAGCTCATTCTTGTGTTGAAGCTGAACACATCTTTAAAGCAGATGGTAAAATTAATAAAGACATTAAATGTTTGGCTTTACAGGTACTTCTCAAGTCTTTCCCACTTACAGAAAGACAGGTGCCTGAAATGGAACTCCTATGGACTTCATAATAGGGGCACAATCCCTGTGTCATCACCACACTGCTCAAAACAGCCCTTAGGCAACACCCTCTTGAGACAGTGAGCCTCTCCAAGCAGAATGCATGACACTGGGATTTACCTGGTATTTACCAGTGTGGAACTGACATTTCGGATTTTCATAGGAATTGCAGATCCTGTTCCCAAGAACACAATTTCAGGATAAGCACGCACATTTCCTGGTGAAAACAGACAAGGATTTGTAAGTAAATGTTATCAACATACCACCCTGTCAGACAGTATTTAGTTCAACAGCACAGTAAATCCAGAGTCTACATGTCCGGCACATTCATCTCTGCCTCCCTCAGCCTCTGGCTTTTCTAGAGCAGCAAGGTTTAAAAGGGAAGACAGAAAAAGCACCACGAAGAAAACCCATCACAATGCATAACTGCATACCCAAAAGGTGGGCAAACAAGGACTCTGCTCACTGGCCATGACCGAGCTGGCAGGAACCTGACTCCGCTTCTACAGTGCCCCGACTCTCCCCGAAATCAGGATCCAGGCAGTGAGCGAGCAGCGTACTAAGAAACCCTCACTACCAACAAGACTGAAATGCAGAGAGTAGCACCAGGGAGCTGATTCTAGAGCAAGACTGCTCCCAGACAAAGGGACTCGTACTGTGGCTGCTATGATGACATTCAACACAAGCAGCACTCTGGTCAACTTGGAGAAATAACACACAGGCGCTTTATCTCTAATTGTGTCCAACACCGCTCAATCCCCAAACCCAGCAGCTTTAGAAAACCAGAAGCATGACTGCGTAAGTCCAACTGACACAAGATAATTCAGTTTGTGCTAAGCCTGTCCTCTGCACAGCTCCAGGAGGACTGAATAGCACCTCTGAGGCAGCAGGAAAACTGCATGTTCACTGTTCTTGTGAACTCTGAAGTAGTGGGTCACCAAGACCTCCTACTTCCCATTACACTGATCCAAGACAAGTTGCTGATCCTTACGTGGTACAGCAGACAGGCTCTCTTTGCACTCCTTCACACGAGTCTGGAAGTCACGAAGACCCAGGGCTTCACTAACAAATGCGTCACGATCACAGACAGTCACCGCATCTCTGAAAGAACAGGTCATGTATCAGGATGGGGAAGGGCAGGAACTGAAAAGACAGCTCTTCCCAGATGAAAGTGCCAAATTACTCTGCCAAAACAGCCTTACAACAGAAGGTCAAATACTCTTTCCAAGTCCTGTTTTGAGGGGTAGGGGAAGATACATCAACGAGTGTGGCATGCACCAAAAAGGCCTGGTTGGGTTGAGCCACGATACAGAAATATCCATTCCACCAATCCGGAGAAGCTCCTGGAACAGTACTATGCTCCCCTGCGCCGTCCAGATCCCGAGAGCTACCAGACACTAGAGGGCACTGCAAGGCAGCACCGAGACTCCTGGAAGAGGAACCCAAAAGGATTCCAGGCACCACTCAGAAGCACACATAAGGGACCTGTGTCCTAGTCCTCCATCAGAGCATATGCAGTACCACAGGCCTTCAGACAACTTCAGCAGAGAAGCTTAAACTCTTCTTGGCACCTGGGTCCTCCTCTTCTGCCCAACAGAGCCAGAAATTTGAGCCATGGCAGCTGATATCCCCTTGCACATGGTCCCCTGCCTTTAAGATCTTCTTTAAGCAGCTTCCTGTACATGCCCACAAAGCAATCACTAGCTGAGAAGTCTGTAACTGTTTAACCACCTGGGGCTTTCAGCTCTGATAACATTTGAAGACCCAGAAAGCATGGGAAGACTTTCACTGGGCTCCTCAAAAAGTCTCTCCCCATCACAGCCACAGTTGGGTGCACAGCTAATGTCTATGAGGTCAAAGCAAAGGACAGAAGAGCACTTGAGTGAGGGACAGAAACAATACTGCAAACCACTCGCCAGGTGGTGTTTTCAGTGGTTCACTCATCCATGTCCTACACCTCGCCTGACACTTCGAGGTACAATGACATAATCCTCAAGAGACAGTTCATAGCTTGGCAGCTACACCAGCACAGCTTCCAGTAAGAATCTGCAAAGGATGCCAACACACTGTCCTTCCTCCGCACAGACTTACACTGTAAAGCTGCTTCAAGCCAACACCCAAAAACCGGTAAATCAAAGATTCCCACCAACCTCTGCCACTCCTGTTGTGGTCTGAAGTGGTATTTCAAGAGGCACTCTCCTCGCACAATGGGCACACTACATGCAGCCTCTTCTTCCTACAGGGAGAAGAGTGACATTAAACACATTCTTTACACAAGGACATGAGGTACACGGGCAAGCAGGGCCTCGCATACCTTGCTCTGGTAGGTGGTGAGCAGAGGGAAGATCTCTGGGTGGATGAGGTTCAGCTGAGTTTGGATCTTGTAGCTGCGTGGGTTGTGCACCGTGGAGGAGTTTTCATTGAGCACCAAGTGCTGAGTTCCAGGTCCAAATCTGTAAGAGGACAATAAAATGCACAACAGCTTCAGCCCCAAAGAGTTGGGACTATGTGCACACCTGAGCCATTAGCTAAAAATTTCATCTGAGTCAGCAAAGCCTCATCACCAGCTACTTCTACTCTGGGAAAAACATTTGCACCATAAGAAATGTCCCCAGCAGTGACATGAAACCAAGTAATAAAAAGTTTGCATACCTTTCCAGCCATTGCTGGTAGCGCTTGTCTCGAAGCACTGACTCTGGAGTCATGTGAATAACCAAGGCTACCTTGCTGTCAGGAAGGCCTTTCTGGTACCTGGGTCACATTCAAATACATAAAGAATACCTGCATTTCAGTCCTCCATCACCTCAGCATCCCCACTCCTCTCCCATATTGGTACTACCAGAGATGCCCCTCATGAAGCAGGCAGAGCACAACCCAGAAGCTCTAGGCTCCACTGTGGTAGGCACAAGCCTGACATTGCTAGACACCTCTGCTCTGCCCCCCAAGGCAGCTCCTCTCCTCCAGTAGCAATAACATCTGCAGGGCCTTTCAGAAGACTAACATGCTTCTGCACAAGCCCTACAGAGATGTTACATGCAGTCCAGGCTTCCACCACACAGAGAAGCAGCAGTCTCTACACTGATCCTCAGCAAGACACCAGCAGGCATTTCCTTCTCTGGAGGCCCCTGAGGGAAGACAGGCTTATCTGTTACAGAACCCTGCACAGGCCTGCCTTTCCTAGCCAGCTCAAAATGCAGCACCAGTCTGTTCTTGCATGTCTAGCTCCCTAACAGTGCCAAACAGCTCAGGCATCAGCCACGAGAACCAACAAATGAAGAATAGAACAAGAATTCTCTTTGGCTCAGCACAGATGTCTTTCCCCAAATGCTCCAGGTAACCCAGCCCAACTACCTTTGGAAGGTCTCATTTTCACAGACAGCATCCACAAATCCCTCGTGGGGACACTCCAGCACAAGGAACACTGGGCCAGGATCAGTAGGGGTGCACAGTTCTTCAGGAAAGAGCTGCAGACAGATACACAAAGATCACACCACAATCAAGCTGTACATGCAGCACCTCTTGCATCATTATATCCAACTCCTCTGGCAGCTATTCTGCCAGCCAGCCCCAGCAGGCAGCTCAAAGCATGCTCTCTCAATGCTCAGCAAACCCAGCCAATGCAGTCCTTGTTCCCTCTTTGCTCTCATTACATAGGTCTCCATTTTTGCTGTGTAATACCCAACCATGATTTTGGAGCACATCACAACGCTGAACACAGGAACCGCTGAACTTATTTTGGTCTAAAAGGTGCAAATAGAGTAATGAGGGAGCAATAGCTACACAGACATTCAAACCCCAGAGCAGGGAATAACTCCAACAGTCCACTCCTAGACCGGTATCAGCTTTGGGAAGGGGAGATGAAGAAGCTCTGACAAATAGCACAGATACAGCCAAACCCACAAACGAATTCATTTCAGAGTATATTTCACAGAATCACAGAATGGTTTGGGTTGGAAGGGACCTTAAAGATCATCCAGTCC